CTCTAGTGTGATTTTTTAAAATAAATATATTGACCTATTATTAAAGCTACAAACTTGTACATATACAAATTTGAATTTCTTCAATGTTTCGATAAATTATCGATTAATTATCTGTGATGCAGAGTTGCCAAGCAGGTGGCTTACTGCGCAGGTAAATAAAAACCGAAAGAAATAAATCATGGACTGTGCACCGCTAAATTTGGTAAATAAAAACATTAATAATCGACTTTTCTTACCCAAATATAATATATATGCGTGTTAATGTCTACAGGCGCATTTCCACGAACGACGCTCAGAGCGCTTCATGCGTCACCATCGCTACGAAGAGGCCATGAAAGCGCTGGAGACATCTCTAATCTACTTACAGGATGCATATAAGAACGTACAACTGGCAAAATCGAAGGAGGTGCTCGACACCTTAACGCTTGACTTTCAGCGCAAGCTACGACAGATCGAGATGCGCAAAACACAACATGGGCTCACAAAGATGAAAGATTTTGGGCAGCTTAAGGAAACCAGCCCCATGCTACCCCTGCGTCCCGAGCAAGGCGTGGGCTCAGCGCAGTCCGTTGCCAAAGCCATCGATAAGACCGTGCAGGACTTTGATGCCAAATTCACGTCGACTATCGAGCGAAAAGTGTCAACGCCTGCGTTAGTTGAGCTTAAAGTTGAGGCCATGGTCAACAGCGATCCACAGACGGATAGCCAAGAATACGACAACCGGTCCACGCTGGAGCGAAGCTCAGAACATGATATGCCCTCCCTGACTCCGTTGGAGCTACCATCATTTGATTATTCATTGTTCACCAGCTCATCGGCTCCGTCGTTGGCGAGCTATATCGGCTTGGCCGAAAGTTTTCAAAAGTAGCTCCTTAAGCTCGTGATAATTAAATATAATGCCATTAGTTTGTATGTATTTTACATGCTGTGCGTTTTATTTGGCCAGCAAACCCTTTAGCAGATCGTCCATGTCTGTCTCCGTCTCCACGTTCTTCAGCAATAGAAGTACCTGCGCCTCCATTTCGCACAGAATGGCCGGCTTTTGGTAGGTAATGATGAGCGTGTTGAACTGATGATGTGTGCTGATATTTGCTTGGACCGGCGGTATGCTGCAACGATCCAGTTCCGGAATAGGAATAACTTTGTAGTACTTCTTGTTGTTTGTGCGCACGACGATCGCGCGTTGTTCGGGATCTGCACGGACATTGTAGACATCTATCGGGTACGGTAGATTACGTATGCGCCATTCGATGTTCTTCTTGGTCACCCGTTTGGTCAGCAATGGGGCTGCATTGCTTTCGCGCAATGTAAACTCGCCGCCAGCCATATTGTCCGCATCGCCGCCGCCAGCCGGGCTTGGTTTATTGCCGGCAGCAAAATTAAGTTGGCGTGGCTCCTCACCAAGCTCTATATCCCATTCGGGCTCGCCCATTAGTTGTTTGCATTTGCGCCAGGCACGTCTTTGCACAACGCCCGTATCCATATTGTACTCCTCGGCCATTTGCCGGCCATCCGGGAATTTGTAGAGCACTTTACGCAGTTTGCCGCTAATCATTGAATTCTTTTCAGCTGATTGCAGGTAATTCAACCAATTTTGGTAGGACATTTTGTCTATGGCAACAACAAATTAAACTAACAAACTGAATTTGATCGATGGCGCAAAAGCACATTTAGTTTTCCCTGGCAACCAGGGCTGTCAGCTGCTCGCTTTTGTTTACAACCAAATTGAAGAGCTGCCAACTTGTTGCAAAAGCTGTTCAGAAACTAGTCTGCAGAGTTGACGTGGCCGTGCATGACCGCATAGAAATACGCATATTTCATCATTTGCAGCTGTATTTTACTTTCTATAGCTATTTAAAGTAAGCCAATTTACGTTACTCGTTTATAAATAGCTACATAGCCTAACTAGACGTGTGTATTTCATACTAATATCGAAAAAATTCTTTGCAGCGCACAAAACGTCAACCGAATACGTGAGAAAACACAATCGAAGAAACTTTAAACTTTTTATTGGAAAAAAAATTCGCAAACATGAGTTTGGTGTGGACTTTGATCGCCACTTTTCTGTACGCAGAAATTGGAGTGGTTATGCTCCTGGTACTACCCGTTTTCTCCCCGTACAAATGGAATCGATTCTTCAAATCCAAATTCCTGTCTATGTTGGCACAGCAGGCCCATCTATACTTTTTCCTTATAATGGGTGTGCTGGTGCTGTTCCTGTTGGAGGCAATTCGCGAAATGCGCAAGTACTCCAACTATGAGAATACCGGTGAGGTGCATCTTAACGTGGAGATGCAGCACAGCATGCGACTGTTTCGCGCCCAGCGCAACTTTTACATTTCCGGCTTTGCGATATTCCTTGTCCTTGTCATCCGTCGTCTGGTCACACTGATTTCGGCACAGGCCAATCTGCTGGCTCAGAGCGAGGCCTCCATGAAGCAGGCCCAGAGCGCCACTGCCGCGGCACGCTCCCTGATCAACGAGAAGACCGACAAGGCCAAGGAGGCCACCGAGGATACCACACTGAATGAGGTGAGTCAGCCCTTATAGTTTTTAATAGTTTAGAGTTTTTGCACATCGTCAAGCCCAGGCATGTTTAAAGAGCTTTGCAAGTACCCAACGGCCCCCACCTAACACTTAGACCGTTTACTACTACCAGCTGTACAATCCAGGCAATTTGTTCTTGATACCCACATGGAAAGTGTTGGGCCAGCATAGCGATAAATCAAGTAAAACTCTCGTAAACTCTTTGAACAGTTGTCAAGCCTGCGGAAACGTGTGCAAGGACTCACCGCCAGAGTACACTAAGTTTTTCGAGCACATTCCCCAAAATCAGTATCTCCCCACACACACACACTCTCAATTTAAATATCCAAACTGCGTGGCCAATACTGACAACAAGCTCGTTTTCCAGCTCAACAAGCTGCGGGAACGCGTCCAGGAACTGACCGCCGACTTGAATCGCGAGAAGAAGGATAAGGAAGCAGTCAAGTCGCAGGCGGAGAGCTTGAACCGTGAATACGATCGGCTCACCGAGGAATACAGCAAGCTGCAGAAACAAATCACCATTGGTGCAGCTGGCGGTGCGTCCAACAAGGATGACTAAGCGAGGAGGTGCTCGGTGCGAGCAAAAAATAAACATTTAAAGAACGATAAGACTTAATCATGGCGGTCGGGGCGAAGGCATAAAATGGAAATATTTCAAGATTATGGAAGATTATAAATTGACAACATAACAAACCCAACACACACAAGCATAAACAATAAAAGCTTAGTTCTTAGTACACAACACACGTTATTGATAACGATTTACTGTTTATTATCTCAAAGTTCTCAAGCTTTATTTGTAATCTTTGTATTAATTCGTAAACTTTAAACATTGTTTGCCGCAGCCAGGAATTTGTTGGCTATAAAAATAATAATAAACACACTATCTTATATCAATACTCAAAAGTCCAGCAGCTTATGATTCACATCGTGCGAACCACGTCTTATTGGATGACGTCATTTGTGACGCACCTTACAAACACGTAAAGACCTATTCCCACCAAAAACTAACTGAGAAACTAGGTGTCTCGGAGCGCACGTAATGCCACCACTTAGGCGGTAAATATAAACAATCGCCGGGTTGCAGCAGCAGCTCATAGAAACGTACACGCCGCAGCAGGGGAAAGCGCTCAAAGTCCGGCTTTGCTGCATCAATTTGCGAGGTGTTGTTCAGAAACTCGCTTTCGTGTGTATAAAGATTTGCTGTCTCTTCTGGCGATGCCAATATAATACTCTTACAGCCAAAAACTTGGCACAACAAATTATGCTTTGGATCGTTATGCATGGGCGATATGGTGTGGCTAGGTCCTAGCCAGGCTTTGATATCGACACCTGGTGTATTATTGGAGGACACGGTGCAGTAGTCGGGCACACAAATGTCCGCCTTGAGCGCTGGTATCTGGGCAAAGAGCTCGTGCTGCGCCAGGTATTCAATTTCGTGATCGGCACTATAATTGCCTTCGCCAAACTGCCTGTGCAGAAAGACACGTAGCTTTACCAGCTGCTGTGACCACTCATCGCTGGCGTAATTGCTGCCAATTTCGATGGGCACCGTGCGATTGCCGGCTACTTTTAGCAGATAATTCAAATCGCGCCATTTACTTAACGCGGACCAATGATTAATCGTGTTGAGCAGAAGCGTGGGCTGCAGCGCCTGATAGCAGCTCGTGCGAAATTCAAGTATGCTAGGTGCCTCCAATTGGGGTATATCACAGCGCGACACGCGTCGCTCCACAGCCGTCAATATGGGCAGTGGCAATGAGTTGTTACTTGAAGTTGTTACTTCGTCCAGGTACTGCATCAGCGTGTCCTTTAGTTCATTACACTTTTCGTACAGTTCATCCGTGCAGCCCAGCAGCTGAGCTTCGTCCAAGACTGTGCCACATAGTTCGCGTTGTTCCAGGCTTGAGTTTTCCAACAGCAAAAAGAAAATCTGCCGATGTTAGGAATTGTACTTAAGTTACTTTTAATATTACCTCTATCACCTTGAAATAGCAGGCCAGTGCATAGATCTTGCGTATTGTCAGCGGCACACAGCTGAAGTGTCCACTATGTATACGCTCCCAGTTCTTGTCAACCAACGCGTGTATCAGATATGAAATTTCCTCCTCCTCCAGCCTATCCAACTGGTCGATCGCATGTCGCTTGCCAAAGTGATCTGCTGCTCGCTGGAGTATGTAACGCGCTTCAACTTCATTTTCCAGCAGCTCTGCTATGTCCTCAAACCGGGGCAGTAATTTGGCGAGCTCCAGCAGAGATGCCTCAACTGCACCCATTGGCAGGTTAAAATGCTCAAACCCAGCTTGTGCGGAACCCAAATTTGAAACGGCTGCCAATCAGCTGACATCGGCTGGTTTTTCAGTGTTGTGCAGTAGTGCTTTTTGCAGTATTAAACATACTTTTGCTGGTATTTTTAAAACTAGTGCTGTGCTGTCTGTTTGGAAATTTGGTCCCACCGCGCACCGGCTACAAAAATATTTCCATTTATTCTGCCGAACGGGGGTTATGGAGCCAGCCACAAAAAAATCAAAGATGGTTAATAATAAATTTAAACATAACAAGAAGAAGTATTTCCAGCAAAGCAAGAAACAGTTTCTGCAGGCTGGCCAACGCGGATTCCTTGTCACTTGCAACATGAATGAAAAGGCATGTGTGCGCGAATGTTACAATCTGTTGAACCACTATGCCGACGAGCTGTACGGCCCGGAGGCAGCCAGCAAACAGGATACAGATGCTGACGCTGTCAAGGATGGCGGCGGCGACGCCGATAGCGATGACGTGGATGCGGCTGTTGCCAAATGCCGCGAGATTTTCGAAAAACGCAAATTACGCTTCCAAAACGTTGACACAGGCACCACCAACTGTATATTTATACGCACCCAACTGGAGGATCCACTTGCACTTGGCAAGCATATTGTTGAGGACATTACTACGACGGGCAAGGCTATGTCACGCTTTGTGCTACGCATGGTGCCCATCGAGGCTGTGTGCCGTTCTAATATGCCGGACATAATCAACACAGCCGGAGCGCTGTTTGACAAACACTTCCTCAAGGAGCCCACCACATATGGCATCATATTCAATCATCGCTTCAATAACCAAATCAAACGTGACCCCATAATCAAAGAACTGGCCGAAATGGTCAATTCCAAGAATATAGGTAACAAGGTAGATCTGCAGAACGCCAAGAAGTCTATCGTTGTCGAGGTACTGAGAGGCTTTTGCCTGCTCAGTGTCATTGACAACTACTTGGAATTCAAGAGGTACAATTTATCAGAGCTGGCAAATGCCAATGGACAGAAGACAAATGCCGAAGGCGAAGCAAAGTCCAACGAATCTGATGAGCAGAAAGAAGACAAGGAGTCAGAGGCGCAAGACGATGAGCCAGAGACGCCCGCTGAGAATTCAACGAAATCTAATGAATCTGTTGTCGCTGCTAAATAATAAAATTTACTAATAATTTTGTTAAATCGTGTGTGCTTTCTTATTGCATAAACATTCACGCTTATTGGCTAACTTTGGAGTGTGTACGTGTGCTTCCGTGTCCGTGCCCGTATCAATATCCACCGCCATGTCATGTTGTGTTAAGAGCTAAACTATTGTAGCTAGACTAGACTAAATCCTCTTAAACTGCGCGTTTAAGCAGCAGCTTCACGATGCCGGCTATCTTCTCATAGGCCATAAACATAAGCGCCGCAGTCAGCACGGTCTGCAGTATTTTGGCCTCAAGGCCGCGGAAGAGCCCAGCGATGCCCTGATGCTGCAGTATGCCGACCATGAGCTCTAGCATGGATGGCGTCTTTGGCTTGCCCGCCTGCTGGGATGTTGTTGGTCCATTGGCGACATCGTTGGTGCGGTGACGCTGCTTGGTCTGCACCAGCTGCAGCGGATAGGTCAGCACTGTGGCAAATGCCTTGGCGATGGCACCAATTATGAAGAAACTCAGGCTACCCATTTCGCCGCCAGTGAAAATCAGAATGTTTCGCTTTAGCAGCTCGTACATCATGAACTGCAGCGCGGGATTGGAGACTAGCATTAGGGATGGTATTGTGCCCGACCACAAGCCGGTCAGGCCCTCTGTTTTGGCCACATACTGGAGACCCTGCAATAAATTCTTGTAATGCTTGTTAACCTCCTCGGACGTGCCGGCAACGTTGCGCATGCGCAAACGCGTATTGACCACCCAAAATGGGGTTGTCGTGAACACATTGATGATGCCAGCTATGCTGCCTAGCAGCAGATCCTTCAGGGCACTCTGCTGTCCGCGCGCGCCGTTCGAGGTGACCATTTTGAGCGCATGGAATGTGTAGAAGTAGACGAAATTCGAGATGCACAGACTCTGCAGCACTGGACCAAGTCCACGGTACAGCGCCTGAAAGCCTTCATTCAGCACAATCTCCTTGATAACCCGCTTTGTGCTGCGCACTTCGCCGGCCTCCTCCACTGCAAGTAAAGAAGGCATGAAACGGATTACCATGCGATATCAGTTTAATATCAAATTAAACTGTTTTGGAGTTTGAACTCGTCTAATGTTTATCTACGTCCGCATGCGCTTATCGAGCCCATTTTAGATTAGCCGGGAACACCGCAACTTACATTGCAAGCGGGAGCGCACCGTGTCCAGCGGGTAGAACGTGCTCATAGCTATGCAGCCGCCCTGTGCGAGTATTTGATTGAAATTTGTTTAGCATATTGGAGTTTGGACTTTAGTACCCCATTTTTGGGCTATACTTACGGCTGCGCCAGAGACGGCATGTACCCAGTTTTGGTAGCTAAACACTTGGCTTAGTTTCGATTGGGACACCATTTTGTTTTATTTTTCGTTAATTTATTAATGCTTTTAGGAAGGGGCAGCGACGCACGTCTGGCGGCGTCTTTGGGCAGCTACTGACTGATTGAGTGACCCGCACACCGGTCCAAACGTAAATTTAAACGACACGCTAGACGCCAGATTAGATTAGCGCAGTTCCAGCGCGAACTTTGTCGTGATATACGACGTTGATGCCACTTTGTTAGTTCGCCCAGCTGTTGTGCACGGTAATTGAGTTTGCGTTTATTCAGTCAATGAGTAATAAAAGATATTTGCATTAAACAATGTCAGCGCTTCCCAGAACAAATGCCGTTTTCTTTTACAATTCTTGGAGAGCGGCTCAGTGTTGCAAAGCGACCGCAGGGGTTGTGTTGCCGTTTGACAGTGCTGTAAAAAGTAAACAGTTTATATTTAAAAATCTGTATATTTACTTTAAACTTTATTATATTTAATTTAAGCTAAATAAAACTTAATTGTTTACACTAGAGCAGCTGATCAATAAGGCACTTTTCACGCCGCGGCTCCAGGCGCGGCTTTTTCATAAAATTAATGCCCGTCTCATTGCTGCTGTTTAGTAAATCTGCCGCCTTGCGTTTTTGATTCTGCAAGCGAATAGGAGAAATTAAGAGTTGTGGGAATGGGAAGCGATTGTGGCACACACACCTCATGCTCCTCCTCGGTTAGCGTGGCAAACACAAAGTTCTTAGCTTTGGCCGTCTTTACGGAAACAGTGCCCGCTGATCCGTCCACATCACCAGCTGCGCCTTTGGTCAGACCCGCCAGTTTACTGAGTGTCTCCTTGTCCCGTACCAGGAACGAGCCACGCACCGCCCGCTGCTGCTGTTGTTGCTGTGCGCCGTTCACGCTTTTTGAAATTAAAAATGGTGAACTCTTCTTCGCTTCAACCGTTGTTTTCTTAGCCGTAATAATGGTCAGTTTGCGCACAGTGCTGTTAACCACAGCTGGTGACAGGGGCAAACCGCTTCCTGTTGCTTCCTTTAAATAAAAATTAAATTCCTCATGAGCTCCTGCAGTAGTTTACAAGTAAAGCATGTGCTTACCCCCTTCAGTCCCTTCTCGAGCAGCAACTGCTCGCGCTCGTAGCGAATCTTGCGCCACAAATGCTCGTTCTCCTCATCGCCGCTGCCCTCGTTGGCTTCACCGTCACCGTTCTCCTTGCGTGGATCATCTAGGCTGAAGCCCAAACCGTTTTCGGCATTTTTCCATCGGAACTGACGCTGTCGTACAGCACCTTCTTCATCCTCAAAGAGCATCTCCTGAATCTTGCGCACCTCGCGTATGTCCTGGTCAAGCATTTTGCGGCTATTGATGTTCGAATTGCAAATTAAAAGTCAATTCTTGGATGCAGTTTTGTACCTGTACTTACGCATGAATCTGTCCCAGTTCGTTACGCAACTTCTCGCGGTCGAACTGATCTTCGTCACCCAGCTCAATGTCATATCTGTCCATGTTCTTCTCATCCTCATCAGCTGAACCCCATTCTGATTCAGATAGTTCAGCTTCTTTTTCCACAAAGTTCGCCGCACGCAATTTGCGATCCTTTTTCGTCATCTCGACAACTATTTCATTCTCCTCGGAGTCATAGTCGACGAATGTTTCTGGCACATCTGCCGGCTCTTCTAAGTCGCTTTCCGGCTGCTCCTCGTCCATATTATCAGCTGGATCTTCATCGCTTTCCTCGTCGTCGGAGAAACCCAATTTGGCCTTCTTCTTTTGACGCCTCTTAGTCATCTTTTTCGTTCGCGGTTTCTCAGCCTCTGAATGTTCTGCTGGCTCCTCATCGCTGGACAAGATTTGATTGGTCTCCGGCGCAGGCAGCGAGGTCGGTTGCGTTTCAAATGCGCCAGAACATAGCGATTCCAATTCATCGGGTGCTTGATCGTTTGGCGTTGCTTGTGTTATAGGTATTTGACTAATAAGTGCTCCAACCGTTGGTGCTGCCGATGACATGTCGGACTGGGTAAATCTCCCTGAACACAAGCCTAGCAGTTCATTCTCTTCGTCGCTGGCCGTGCGTTCAATTTCTGTATCGAACAGCTTGTGGGCGGATAACTGTAGCTGGGCGGCTGTCATCGGCGCCGCATTGCTTGGTTTGGGTGTCTGCAACAAATCGACGTCATCCTCGTCGGAGTTGTCGTCCTGGAATGCACGTATAATACGATTCTTGCGCTTGCCCGTCTGTGTTTGCTCTTCTTGTTCGCTGTCGCTACTGCTGCTTGTTGCTTCTGGATCTACTGGCTCCGATGCCACCTCTGTTTCCGACTCTGCTTCCAGTTCGGGATCGGCTTCGACACCAGCAGCTTCAGGTTCCGCATCTGCTTCTTCATCATCGTCTGCATCTTCTTCAAGCTGCTCCTCAACAATTTCCTCATCATCATTAATAATCAGTTGGCTTTTGCATGGTTTTTCATCTGGTTCATATTCCTCATCTTCATCTACATCCATAATGTCGTTTTCATCAGCATCATCATTTGCATCTTCCATTTCTTCAGCCTGCTTTTTGCGTAATTCATCCATTCGCTTTTTGGTAATCAACGTTTTTAGATGCTCCTGCATTTTCTGGTAGGCTGCGCCCGGTTTCTGCTCCTTATTGACAGGCTCCTCCTCGTGGAGATGTATGCTCACCTTCGACAGCTCCAGTTTGCCATGTGCAGTGGACAAGATGCTGCACAGATTTTAGCTTTAGAATATGCAAACTGATTAATCAGTTCCTCTACTCACTTGACAGTTTCCGTAGTCTTGTGCTTTTTGGCCTCTCGCGTTTTTATTAGACGTTGCAGCAAGTCATCGACACCGGTTGGCTTCTTGGCGAACATGTCGCCTGTTTCCAGGTCAATGATCATGTTGGCATCTCCCTTCAGCGAAGGACTTACATCGCTGCCCTTCTCGTCCCTCAGGCGTCGTATAGCTTCGCTTAAGCGTGGCGTAGACGGCTTAGAAGGTGGCGTAATGTTCAGTGTGCTCAAATCCAGTTTGGGCAATTCCACGATCTCAGTTACCAGCCTCGTTTTAGTGGGTGAAATCGCTTCTGTCATAGGTTGAGCCTCTGCCATGATAATTTCTTCGGCTTCAGTGGCTGCTGGAGCACTCTCAACATTTACGGAAGCGGCTGGCTCAGCTTCTGGTTGTACTAAATGGTCATCGATTTCTGGATGGCTTGTTTGTTCTCTGCCATCTGTTTCAATATCCTGCGCATCTGAATTGTCTTTTGTTGCAATTGGTTCTTCCTCTTCATCGTCGTCTTCATGCTCTGATTCAGATTTGAAGAACTCGGTGGCCTCCTGGGCGCGTTCCTCCATTAGCTTGCTGCATAAACGTGCTTGTGGTTAGGGCAGATTAATTGGCAGATGTTTAGGTGCCTGTAACTTACGCATATGCCTGCAACTCCTCGCTGGTCATGCGCAGACCCATTGATCTCCTTGGCTCTTTTTTGTTGGGCATGGGACTTCCACCGGCCAGAGCTACTGCCAGAGGCTTGTTTATGGTACGCCGGCTCAGGAACTCCTTGAGCGTGCGTGGCTTCGGCTGATGGTATGGTACGCTGATGTGTGCCTCACGATGCAGCCGCTGCTGCTCGCTTTGTATAGCCTGCATATCATCTAGCGCCTTCTTGGCTGAGGCCTGCAAAGGAGATTGTATGTATTGTATGGATTGTTTAATTGCTTATGCGATTCCTAACTCACTCGCATGGGTTTGGATTTGTGTGGCTTTTCTGAAGAGATCTCGGTTGTCTCCTGTAGGTTCATCGGTTCGTCTGTTTTACAATGCTCCGACTCGGATTCGGAATCCACAATCCCTTTAAGTTTATTTTGTGTTTCTTTATCACTTGCTTCTTCCTCGCTCGACTGGCTACTTTCCTCATCATCGCTATCCAATCGCTGTTTCTTTTTCCTATCCAGTTTCTTGCTCTTTTTCTTTTGTTTTGTGCGTTCCTCCTTCTCCTGTGGTTCTACTTGTTGCTCCTGCTCCTCCTCTTCGCTGTCTGTGTCAATAATTGCACATATCTTTTTCTTCAACTTCGGAATCACATTGTTTTCTTGTTCTTCTTCATCGCTGTTTTCCTTTCCTTCAGTTTTTGCTGCTGCCCTAGAATCCTTCTCCGCCTCAACTTGCTCCTCCTGTTCACTGTCAGAGTCAATAACTGCTGATACCTTTTTCTTGGGCTTAGGAATCACATTGTTTTCTTGTTCTTCATCATCACTGCTTTTCTCCTCTTCAATTTTTCCTGCTGCCTTAGAATCCTTCTCCGCCACAACTTGCTCCTCCTGTTCACTGTCGGAATCAATAATCGCTGATATTTTTTTCTTGGGCTTTGGGGCTTCATCTTTCTCCCGCTCATCTGGCTCTTCATCGCTGTCCTGCAGACGTTGGGCCCTGTTCTTGGGGGATATTTGTTTACCTGCTGGCGCAGGCGTCTCATCATCTTCGCTGTCCGACATTACCAACGCTTTCCCACCCAAAATATCTTCAGCTGACACGTTCTTTTCGTCTTCATCGTCAAATTGCAGCTTTTCCATGGAGTCGTTTGCTTTTTCATCATTTTCTGCTGTTGTTGCAATTTCTGCAACTGTTTCGCTCATATTTCTGGGTCAGCTCTTTTTGTTATTAAAATAAAAATAAAACAGTCGCAGTTGAACACGCACACACAGACACGCGCTGCAGCTCAATTTGGCGCGAAACACAACAGCTGATACGTTAACAACAAGTTGGCAGCTCCTACGACAAATATTTATGCAATAAGCTGGCAGCACTATCACAACAAACATTTTGCGGTGGCAGTCATGGGTACTTATTGGTTTGTGACTTTGCTAAGCTACAATGAAATTTCGGAGTGCACTTTACCAAAAACGTTCTTTTCAAACAGTTAAAGCGGTTAGAAACAGTTAACCGGAACAATTATTCAAAAATCGCTTTAAATTGAACGAAAATATTCAAATGCAAGCCCATTAAACTTGAATAGCGTGCATAATTTCAAATATAGGCAACAGTCTGTCAGCGTGTGCTTTATTTCGCCTATTAACAACTACAAGAGGCTGAACCGCACAATCGAAAATAATCAGCCAAAACGCATTTACATATCAGCGCACACACACACACACGCACACACTCATATGTAAGTATTTCACCTGTTCTGCTTGTTGTTGTTGTTGTTGCTGTTAAGTTAGCGAATTGTTGCAGTTGGTTTGATTTTGTCTGACGATGCTTTCTCCGCATCTCTTTTCATTTCTCTTTCACAGTTTTTGGCTTAGGGTCATTAAGTAACCCGGGCTACGCTGCCACCGTAAACGCGACCCCTCAGACCCTAACCGATATTTATCCATTTTGAGCCATAAACGGCATATAAATTTTCCAAATTTAATTAAAGCCATAGCCAAGCACTCTGACTTTACGTACCTTCAAAACCGACCATTAGCAGCTCCAATATTTAATTAATAACGAAAGCAAAAGCTGAAACCGAAACCGAAACCAAATCGTTTTGACTAGGTGTCAAATTCCATCAGCATTTCACTTTGTGCCCCACAGTGCCGCATTCTGTGCCGCATAATCGTTGTGGTTTCTGATTAATGCATCGCCAAAAAAAAACTATGTTCGACTTTGTTGCGCAACATTTGCCGGCCATAAACTACGAATCCTACACACAAAAAGACCTTAGAAAGATACATAGAAAGCGCCCGCTCTTCGCCATTTATGCATATTGTTAATTTCTTTTGCTAGCAAAATTCATAATAGATTTCTATCAATAAATTTAGCTAAGGTTTCGAATAGTATTTCTCTAAGGTTATATATGTTATGTAAGGAGCCACAGTAAGAAATAGGAGAAATAAAAAGAAGTTTTCATTTGATATGCATCTGATATTCATTCATATAAAATGTGTTGCTTTGTTTTTATACCCTGCACCCAAGCGACAAAAAGGCGTATCAGTTTTATGTTGCATGCAGAAAAGAGCAGCTCACCTTATAGTGCATATATATTCTTGGTCAGCATCAGTCGGCGAATCGGTTCAGCCAAATCCGTCTGTGTTTATAAGTTTCAAAAGTTCCTATAATATAAAAAATGCTTGATTTTAGAAAATATTTGCTAAAAATGTTTAATATTCAACAATTTTTCTAAAATAGGAATATTTTTTTTAATAAATGAAAAAAACTTCCAGAAATTACTAAAAATCTTGTTAAGTTTATAAATGCGTCGATCTCGAAAACCATAAAAGCTAGAGACTTGAAATTTGAAATATATATTCTCGTACGTCATATAAACAGAACGAATTTATCAGTTATTCCATTTCTTTAATGCATAGGCAGATTTTCGTTTAATTATACCGCCTGCTTGGCGCTGGATGCAGAGTATCTGTTAGTCGAGTATTGCCGACTTGTTTTTCCTGCTAATTAACACTTGATAGCATTTTTAATATATCATATACCGTTTTTTATTTTATATTAATGAACAGCTGCAACTCCCCCAACAAACCCTACCTTCAACTTGAGGCAGCCATCATATCATATCAAATCATCAGATCATTTTGAGGTTGGCTTTTCTTAAACTGTGTCGAAGTGTGCGCACCAATTAGCATATAAAGTTTCTCTTTCATTTGCCAAAAAAAAAAAAATTAAATAAAAAAAACTGTTAACTGCTTTCCGGCTGCGTATGCTGGTAGTTGGTTGTTAGCTGGAAGTGCTCCTCGAATTGGCCGCATCTCTTTTCATATCTATAGCAGAGAGTTTGTTTTTGGCCACTTACGGTACATACAGTATATAGATATATATATATATTTATATCTGCGCCTTGTTGTCGCCGTCTTTGGCGTTGTTGAGCTAATTTGCATACGCATGGAACACACACACACTCACACACACGCGCGTATCTGGCATCTGTAAATAGCATCTTTGGTTATTTTGTCAGCGAACGAAAGTGAAAATCTTGTGACTAAACCGCAAGATACACACAATGCTAACATTTCAAAAGTCTTTCAAAATGAGTTAGATAAATACTCGATACTCGAATTGCTTTTGGCCATTTGTCTTGCGCATTGGAAATTGGGCATCGGAATTCAATCAAAAAACAAACAAAGCGTGATGTATGCCCATTTCTTTAAGGTTTTTTAGAAAACTATTGTGTTGCTTTTTTGGCCAAAACAGTTAAGAGCTTGCGCAACTTTTAGCCAAATATACGACTTGAAATCGCTTTAAGCTTAACTTTTAGCAGCTTCAGCCAAGGCTGAGTACTTAGTGCAACTATGCTTCTCCCTTTGCCTCTTACTATGTTTGGGACATGCTTTTTTGAATAACTTGGTAATTTATAGAGGGATTCTTGTGATATTTTCAGGACTTATATAGGACACACAAAGGTGTGCATATCCAAACGCGACATTATTTACGATTAAGAATAAGTTTTATTCTTTAAGATTAAAGGGAATTGGAGTAGGTATCCCATAAATAAAATATCTATCTATATATACCATAGAAGAACTTACATGCCAAGTTGGACTATCTAGCACTTCGAATTTTCGAGTTTTGTCTAAAAAAACATGTCTCAAAATCTATATTTATGAGACATCATGAAAATGCATACAATAAAAGCCAAACTCTTGCTGATAGGAGAATAAAATTTTTCAATTTTAGACAGACTATATCGGCTCAGCTCTTCGCCTTGTCCAGGATATATACCTTACAGAGTGGGGCTGGCAACACGAGCTGCAACTGCTGTTTAAAGTGAATTTAAGTGGGCAGTTGTGTATCTTTCACAATTAAATGCAAATGGCCAACACACAGAGAGTTCCTGCCATGCTGTGGTTGTTGTTGTTGTTGCTGTTGTTCCTTGGCCAGAGACACGCCCAATGCCGTCTGGTTTCGGCTGTCTGCCTGATTGAGATTTTTGCCCGTTGCCGTTTTGGCGAGTGAAAGTGATATATGGCGCATGACTCAGGCCCAGGTAGCGGCCACACACACACACACACACAACTTAAACACACACCCCTTCATATGCATAAAACAATAATTAAGCCGCATTTTTATGCAGCACTAGACAAAAACAGCAAAAGGGCACAGCAGCCAAATAAACAAAAGCTCACGAGCGAGAAATCGATTATAACAACTCTGTACATTGAGAAAAAGCGGAAGATGGAAATTATAATTGTTCAAAAAAATGCTATATAAGGAAAAGCATGGGATGATTGAACTCTATAAGGGACAGACTAGGATGGACTTAATTCCATAAGGGACAGACTCGGATGGACTTAATTCCATAAGGGACAGACTCGGATGGACTTAATTCCATAAGGGATAGTATGGGATGAAAAGGTAGGTAAGATTCTTGACTTTGCCGAAATTATTAATCTTGATCTTTGATATTTGGCAGAAAAAAAAAGTATCTGAAAATACAAAGTAGTCTATCAGTATACAAAAGGAGATTAGATATGGATAAAATATAAATATTGTTCTAGCCTTGTCTTATTTCTTGCTTTATTTCTATGCAATAGGAATGATCTATCATTCAGATTTTAGTGTTCTTCTTATATTGAAAGCATAATCAATTGTATAAGTAGAAGAACTTTATTTTATATACTCTAATGCAACTCAGACTCAATAAATGAAGCATAGCTATTTATTTATATGCTCTACTGCATCTATAGATGCCATAATTAAGCCCATTTATAAAGCAGGCCTGAACCCGTCTCAGCCAAATAGCTTTGCACTCAGCTGCAACTTTATGTTGCCAGGTTCAATGTCTATATGCATAATCAGACTCACACTCGTCTAGGGTATGCAATTAAGTGCCGCTGACAGAAAAACAACAGCATAAAAAGAAAATAAAATAAGAAAAAAAGATTTAAAAAAAGTGCCCCAGAGAGGCTGACAAAAGAAATGGAAAGTGAAGTCGGCGAGTTGGGAGCGCGCGCCCTGCGATTCCATTGACCGAGGTTGACCGGAGTTGAGAGCGGACTTGCATAATGCTTGGCATCGACAACACTTGTGCGGGGCAGCGATCGGCAGCGTTCACAATATGGATACATTATTTTTTTGTTAATAAACAATAAGAGCTTAAGGCAGGCACCGTTACAGTCGTAACTGCAGAAGGGGCCAGCAAATTGTGCAAAACGTTGTCATATAACTGGTTTTGTTGTTGTTCGAAATAAAACTGAAACTGAAGCTGAATGAATCTGGAGTGTCCGAGAGATATCAATATGTAGTCGTTGTCGTTGTTGCCTTTGTTTTTGTTTGCCAGCGATTTTCCCCACCATTTCCAAAGAAAATAATGTGTGAAAAATGCGCTCGCATTTGTTGCTCATTTATCATCACAGCAGTTGCAGACATGCGAGTGCAGACGATATTTCAGTGATTATGAATAGTTCGATCAAGATCGAAAACTATAAATATAAATCTCGATATTAGCAAAATGTACTTTCTCAACTGGCTGCAGGCCTCAACAAAACAAGAAAGAAATGCTTAACCGATTCGCGGATCATTATTTTCATCCACTTCCATGATCCGAGTTTTCGGAGTCAACTATGGTTCTTTCCAAATGGCTTCGAGTTTTTAAAACAGTTCAAAATGAACTCTTTCCTTTTTGTCTTTTTATGAGCAGGCAAAATATATTTAGCAAACTCTTTTTCAAGCTGCCTTGCATCGGATCCA